TCCCGCATATTCCGAAAACTTTTGGAAATAAACGACATGTTCAAAAGACTCATTATGCCTCATGGATTATAGGTTGGGGTGTTTGCTTCTCAAAATGGAGTCATTTTGTGGGTAATTCCATTGTCCTGGTGCTTTAAGGCCTTCAAAATTGTAATACGTAGTCAAGATGTTAGATGTGTAATTTATGTCCCTAGAACACTTGTTGATGCTCCTTGCATGTTGGGCCTCTCTATGTGGTCAGGATGTTCAAAAGTCTAACACATTTGGTATCATTAATTCAGGAGAAGCAGCAGAAAATATTTTGGGGTGTAGTTGCAAGTATGCCTGTGCTGTGTGTGAGAAATAACTTGTTACTATGCCAATTTTTTTGGGAAAAAAAAAAAAAAAATAAAATTTAATTTTCCAAAGAATTTTTGGAAAAAACTACAGCTTCAAAAAACTCACCATGCCTCTTACTGAATACTTTGGAATGTCTACTTTCCAAAAAGGGGTCATTTATGGGGTATATTTGTACTGTTCTGGCTTGTTAGGGCCTCAAGAAATGAGATATTAGGCATCGGTACATCAGGTGTGATCAATTTTCAATGATTGGTACCATAGCTTGTAGACTTTCTAGCTTTCACACAGACCAAATAATATGCACTGATTTGTGTTATTTTTACCAAACAAATGTAGTAGTATAAATTTTGGTGAAGATATATGAAGAAAAATTACTTATTTGAAAAATTTTATAACAAAAACTAAGAAAAACGCATGTTTTTTTTTTTCAAAATTTTCGGTCTTTTTTCATTTTTATAGTGCAAAAAATAAAAAACCCAGTGGTGAGTAAATACCACCAAAATAATGCTCTATTTGTGTGAAAAAAAGGAACGAAAATTTTATATGGGTACAGTGTTGCATGACTGAGTAATTGTCATTCAAAGTGTGAGAGCGCTGAAAGCTGAAAATTGGCCTGGTAAGGAAGGGGGTATAAGTGCCCGGTAGGCAAGTGGTTAAACATCCTGGGTATGATAAAACTTGAAACACGAAATCATAAATTATAATTTAATAAATAATCATTGTCAAGAGAACCAGAGAGCACACAGAGACAGATTGCACGGAACCCAACGTGCTTTTATTGGGGAGGTTTTTGGGGCACAGACAACAATTCCTTTAGTCCACAGATCCACACCAGACACAGCAACACAGTACAGTTCTCTGGAAGGCAATATGGAACCACAGGGGTATTGTAATCCACAGGGTTAGTCCACACAGGAGGCTCCGGGCAGGGAAAGGGTTAAGTCCAGGCAGGTTCACGGGAGAACGAGGGGTTAAGTCCAGGTAGGTGATAGATCCAGGCAGGTTCACGGGGACAGCAGATTTCTCCACAGGGCAGGGATTCCAGGCGGCACAGACAGTCCAGGAGATGAGGAGGAGGACGGGGGATGAGAGGAGCTGGCCCTCAGCCAGCCTTCCCTCACACACGCAGCCAGGAGAACACAATGGAGGTTTTCCTGCTCACCCTTAAGAATAGAGCTGGTAACCGGATACTTCCTATCGGGTTACCATGGCGACGGGCCCTGTCTCTCAGGTCTCCAGACCTGCCCAGGAATTCATGCATGAGGGGGAAGGGAGGAGATGGCCTGTTTGTGTATTCCTCCAGCAGGAGGCCAGGCTGCAAGCCAGGGGGCTGAGGGGCTGCTGAGGGCTGCCTGTGTCAGGGACAAAGAGGACTAGAAGTCCCAGCATGGATGGGACAGAAGGGTGGCAGCCAGCAAACCTGGAGGATGGGGAAGGAAGGACCAGCTCCGTGACAATAATAATAATAAATTTAATTCAATAATATAATCAAACCAAAAACACTGAAATTTGAAATACAGAGGAAAATTCACACATCGCTGAGCAAAGTCGCAAAATCGTTTTCAGTGTCTGATGACGAATTTCCCCACAAATCATTATCACTCAATTCTGCAAGTGGTTCTGATTTACTATCGCTGTTCTCTAGCCGTCTAAAACTGCTTTTGACCTAAAGGGACGCTTTTTTGGACGCCATGGACTTTTCTAAGTTTCCAGGCAGAAAGAACAGTAAAAATGCAGGCAGGACAAAGCACTCGGGACAAAATGTACGTGAAATGCATTGAAACAGCAATGACAGCAAAAATGACATTTTTAAAAAAATTTCACATTTGCCGCCGGTTCCGGCGCGTGTATGTGACCCGGAACACGGAAGCTGGATGCCGGCATCGGCCGGAGGAGATGGCCTGGGACACTGCAGGGGACACATCGCTGGAGCAAAGGACAAGGTAAGTGCTGCAGGGAACCCCTGAGCAACGCTGCATGGTAAGCCTGAGTGTAGCTCGGGGTTACCGCTCTTGGTACTGAAACTTTACCCCGAGCTACACTTGGCAATACCGCTAAGGAGGTTAATAAACAGTTGCGCAAATATCATGTGACATAAAAGTGTGCAAATATCACCTTTATTCTACAAGGCCTCTGCTTGCATGAAAAATATAATGTTCTGAGGGGTTTTATTGCCAGAAATTGAGATTTTTACATGGATGTGAAAAATAAAAAAATTTACTCTGGAGCCAAAACTGGTTAACGCTGCTGTGCTCAGGCAGCGTTAATAGCGGGCCTTGCAGCGGCTGAACAGCTGTTTTGCAGCGTGACTTAATTAGAGGTGATAGGACACCTTAACACTGCCATGGGCAGGTGACGTTAAGAGCCCCATCACACTCACCTCTCACGTAACCTAAGACATCTGGAGCTCCGCCCGCCAGCCAATAAGGAGTGACGTTGCGTCATCGCGCATCACCTATCCCATCCACCAAGTGAGGATCTCAATCTGGAAAGGCCTGATGCGTAGCTGACGGATGTACAGATGGATGGGCATGAGTGGGGCCTCATATCTAAGTTTTGCCTAATGTCTCCCAATGCCTAAAGCCGTCAACAGTCAAAAGTATTGGGCCCGCCCTCAAAATCATGTGATTCAGGTGATCCAATCCCCTCCATGGCCACAGGTGTATAAAATCAAGCCCCTAGGCATGCAGACTGCTTCTACAAACATTGGTGAAAGAATGGGTCGCTCTCAGGAGCTCAGTGACTCCAAGCGTGGTCCCGTGATAGGTTGTCATCTGTGCAATAAGTCCATCCGTGACATTTCCTGGCTACTAAATATTCCACGCTCAACTGTTAGTGGGATTATAACAAAGTGGAAGCACCTGGAAAAACATGGTTAGTGGCCGTTTTATTTATTATTATTATTATTATTATACAGTATTTATATAGCGCCAAAGGGTATGCTTAGTTTTGTACAGTAGCAAGGGGGACAGAACATGAGACAAGACAGTAACAATACAATAAACGAGGGGATTGAGGGCCCTACTCTTTTGAGCTTACAATCTAGGAGGGAGGGGAAGGTGATACAGGAGGAGATGGCTGTGGGGGATGGAGTGGTGGGTGGAGTGGAGGAGGTTAGTTGTTAGGTGAGGTCAGGTGTTAGGTGAGGTTGGGGTAGGCTTCCCTGAAGAGGAGGGTTTTCAGGGTGAGCCTGAAGGTGAGGAGGGTGGGTGACAGTCTAATGGATTGGGGTAGGGAGTTCCAGAGGATGGGGGAAGTCCTAGAGAAGTCCTGCAATCGGGCGTGGGAGGGACCAGGGAGCTAGAGAGTAGGATGTCCTGTGAGGAGCGGAGGGCACGGGGTAGGGGTAGTATTTGGGTATCAGGTCAGTTATGTAGTTTCGGGCGGCGTTGTGAATGGCTTTGTAGGTCAGGGTTAGCAGTTTGAATTTGATGCGTTGGGCAATCGGAGGCAGTGGAGGAATTGGCAGAGGGGGGAGGCAGATGTGGAGCGGTTGGTGAGGTGGATGAGTTCAGGATCGACTGGAGTGGGGATAGCGTCTATCGTTTGGGTAGGCCAGTGAGAAGGGAGTTGCAGTAGTCCAGGCGTGAGATGATGAGGGAGTGTACGAGTTGTTTGGTGGTGTCTGGGGTGAGGAACATACATATCTTGGAGATGTTGCGGAGGTGGAGCCTGCAAGATCTAGATAGCAGTTGGATGTGGGGTAGGAAGGAGAGGTGGGAGTCCAGGGTTTTATGTTTAACACTTCTCACCCACATGACATCATATGACGTCATGAACTTTGAGTGGAGATATCTGAGTGATGCCTGCAGCTACAAGCATCATACAAATATCTTTTTTTTTTTCAGCCAGCGCTTCCTGTAAAAGGTCATCCTAGCAGCTCATTAGCTGCTGGATTGCTTTTATGGGTGGCGGAAGGGGACATCTCCCCTTTCATCACCCACCGGCATTTCTCCTTGCTCTCCCGTACAATCAGGGGGCCAGAGAACCGTTCTACCAGCAGCTCCAGTTTACCATAGACCTGGCCGTGGACCAGCCGTGGATCTCTATGACCTTGGGAGGCTGGAAGCAACGTCATGACGTCACCTTCAGCACTTTCGGCTCTGGCAAATGTTAATCCTGCCATTTTTTTGCTGGAAAGCCTGAGATCAAATTTTTTTTCTCTTGATCTCATGCTTTCCAGCAAAGAGCAGAGATGTGGTGTCTTATAGACCCCACATCACTCCATAAAGAGGACCTGTCATGCCTTATTCCTATCAAAAGGGATACTTACATTTCTTGTAATAGGATTAAAAAAAAAATAAAGAAACAGTGTAAAAAAAAAAAAAAAAATAATAAAAAATTTAAAGTCCGCTAATGTTCGCACGCAGAAGCAAACCCATACGTTGATGCGCCCACATATGTAAACGGCATTCGAACCACACATGAGGTATTGCCATGAACATTATAGCGAGAGCAATAATCCTCCTCTGTAACTCTGAAAACCTATAAACATTTTTAAAGCATCACCCATGGAGATTTTCAAGTACCATTGTTGGGCGCCACGAGTGTGCGCAATTTTAAAGTGTGACACGTTAGGTATCTAGTTACTTGGCGTAACATCATCTTTTATATATTTTACCAAAAATTGGATTATATACTGTGGGGTTTTTTTTTTATTAATTAAACACTTCCCGTCCAGTCCATGTATATAAACGGCCGGACGGGAGCAGTGCAGGGGTGGGTGGCCGTTTATAAATGTCCTCCCCGCTTGTGCACGCTCCCTGGGAGCGCGCAGCACTGCGATCCGGTGCCCACTGTGTCCTCCAGTCAGATCGCTGCACGGGACCTCTGTGTGAGGTCCCGATCATGTGATCACTGATTGGCCAATCAGTGATCACATAAAGAGTAGTAAGCAGGATGTCACTTCTGACATCATTGTTTACTACGTGTGAAATCTGTGAATGATCACAGAGGTCACATGGTACAGGGCTATTCAGAACAGCCTTGTTCCATGTGACAAGCTGTGACCAATCACAGCTCTCACAGTATTTCTCAATGGCTGCAGGAATGCAGCCAGAGAGAAGGAGAAATGATTGCGGTTACAGCCTTTATGGGTGTAAAAGCAATCAGTGTACAAAAAAATAATCTTCATCACTCCCCAGCCTTTTACCATGTGACAACCTGTGACCAATCACAGCTCTCACAGTATTTCTCAATGGCTACAAGAATGCAGCCAGAGAGAAGGAGAAATGGTTGCTTTTATGGCCTTTATGGGTGTAAAAGCAATCAGTGTAAAACAAAACAAAAAATCTTCAT